TTGTTTTCTTTAGCTTTGCTTTAAAAATCATGATGAGAACATTTCTGTAGGAGAGAACAAATGACTGTATCATCCTTTGCATGATTTTCATTTCCCCCTTCTCTAATTTCCTTTTGATATTGTTTTCCCGACATTTTGAAGACAACTGTGACTGCGAGCCTTTGTTTCCCTAATGATCTTGTTTCTCTTCACTATGAAGAAAAACCTCCTCCTTTGCCCTTTTGCATGACTACTCCATTACTCAAAATTGAGATCTGGTCCTAAATCAGTCAAGAAGATAAATGCCTGGGTGAGAATTAGCGGAGGAACAATAGTGAAAGCCACCCACGGGGCTCTCTCAGGGACTAACTCTGGACGGAGGTACAGAAGTGTGATGGGAGCTTTGAAAGTGAGTCGTCTCTTGTCCTTTTCTTTTTCTCTGCTCTATTTGAGTACTTTCTGTGTTCTAGAGCCTGTGGATTCAGCCCTCAAACAATTGGCAGAAAGGTCCTCATAAAGACAAGAACTGTACTCCATCTTTCTCCTGTCTCAAATGCTGACGCAGTTGGTGTATTGTAATCATGGCCCCTCCTTATTACCAGGAATTTCATGTTGCTGTCTTCCCATTATCTGGAATAATGGCTTCACTAGAATAGAGATGGTAAGACCATTTACCAGGGTGGGACATCAACCTGAAACAATCGTTTGTATCTGTAGTGGCAGTCAATTACACAAATTCAGCAGCATTCACACCTAATTGCTCTTATGTTTGATAGTAAATGTCAGGAGATACTGTGATCATTTCTTTTGGAATGTTAACTGATCTGTTGAAATGTTTTTCTTGCATTAAGTAGGATTATGAGCAAAATGAAACTTTGTGCATATGTGAAGGTGAAATTTAAAACAATTTGAAACCTGATTCAACAGTAACATTTTAATGATAACATCCAAGACAACTGGTAATAAAGCAACTTGAGTAGTGGCAGGATGTCAAAATACATAGAAGTTGAAAGAAGATAGGAGAATGAGATAAAGAAGAAAAAAATTAATAGAAAAAGAAGAGTAAATATTTTGGACCCAGGGTGAGAATTAGAGGTTTCATGAAAAGTGAACCATTTTCTTATGCTGGTCACATAAGAACAATGAAATCATCTACTGGGGGCAGCAACACACACACAGCTTTGAGGTACACACTTCACTGAATGCAGCAGTCGTCAAGGTGAGAGAGGCCTAAAGAAAAGATTCTCAAATAAAATGCTCCCACCCAGGTATCATATGGGGAGGTCTACTGTTGTGCACTGACACCTAAGCTTATATCTACGTGTAGAATATCCCACAAGACTTAGAGTTTCAAAGATCACTCTTACTTTCAGCAGTATGTGAGCTCCTGGGGAAAAAAGTGAAAATACTTTCCTCTGTACATTAAATTTCTTTTGAAATACCAGTGAGGAATCCACTACTTAAAGGAACCCAGAGGTGAATTCTGAATGACAATTTTTCCGTTCAGTAAATTTAGATTTTTGTTAATTCCTTAAAGTGGGACATGCCCATTTTACATCTTCTTCCTTGTCTTCTATCTAACCTTCCTCAGTGGTTTTTCCCCTTCTCCCATCTGAATCAGAGAATCCCAGGTCTGCTGCTGAGCCCAGGTAGCTACAAGATACAGCACCTCAAACTCTACAAATTCCAGGGAAGGGGTTCAGGAGTTGGGAAGGGGCAACCGAGAACATATGGTTCTGAAGCAGGGAGACTGATGTTTGACTCTGGTGTATGGAAATCAGCCTCAACTCCTTTCAAGCCACATTGTAGACAAGGTCCCTATGCTAATAATGGTTGGAGTCTTCTGAGGCCAAGTCAAATCACTTGGCACCATAGGTCATCTTGAACCTTGACCCTTCCATCCAGTCAGCCTCTCCCTCCCCTGAGGTAGAACCAATTGGTCATTTTTTGTATCCACTCTTTGAAGAAGATTCACACTCTTAACCAAACCACCCATACGGGTTGTAGGCCTTGACAGTGTTGATGCTATGGACCAATAGTATGCACAGCCACCTTCCCTCTGCCCTGAGCTCTCTTCTCCCAGAGACTCCCCTGGCTGGACCCTCACTTTATTCACGGCTTAGCTCAAATATCTTCGCCTCAGAGAGCCCTTCCCCACTAAATCTAAAAAGAAAACTACCACCCTCAAGCTTCCACAGATCTGCCCAGAGCACAATCTGCCATGACCAAACACATACAGACACATCTACAAGGAATGATATCCTTGTATTATTGCATACAAGGTGTGTACATTAGTCATAAACTGAAACTTCATGGCAAAGAAAAAGATAGTCTTTTACCATTTACTAAACAATAGAAAAACATAGACTTATAAGCTTACAATCATTGAAAAATATCAATTCTGACAAAAAATAGATATATGGCTGGAAGAGAGGAGTATCAACTAGCACAGTTCTTCTGTGGAACGATCTAGCAATACACATCAACAGCCTTCATGGTATTCATATTGTTTGGCCTAGTGATAAACATTGAGGACACTGTGTAAGTGAAATAAACCAATCACAAAAAGACAATACTGTATGATTCAACTTATATGAGGTACCTGGAATAGTCAAATTCATAGAAAGTACAATGGTGGTTGCCAGGGGCAATGGGCGGGGGATGTGGAGTAATTGTTTGAGTAGAGTTTCAAATTGGGAAGATGAAACAGTTCTGGGGTCGGATGGTGGTGATGCTTGAACAGCAATGTGAATGTACTTAATGCCACTGAACTGTACACTTTAAAATGGCTAAAATGGTAAATTTTATATTATGCATATTTTACCACAATAAGAATGCTTTAGAATATTTAGAAACAGGAAAATGCTCAAGATGAGAGAAACAGTATCAATTTTTTTTTATTTTGCATTTTCTGTAAAAATCATTATAAGCTCATGTATAGAAAAAAGACAGGAAAGATATTCAAAAACACAAAATATCAGTAGACATTATCACTAGGTGAGATTACGAGTGAGTTTCTTTTTTCACATTTTTCCATATTTTCCAAATATTCTAAGTAAACCTACAGTATCTTTATAATCAGAAAATAAAAACTAAAAGCCTACTCCCTATATCTCTATCCTCTTACCCACCTTTATTATTATAGTAATAGCGGTTATTGCTACCTGAAAATATATTGTGTATTTGTTTCTTTGACACAGACTGTTTCCCCAGATAGAACGTAAGTTCCATAGGTCAGAGGCTTCCTAAATTCTTGAAGAGTTTCAGGCACTTAATGGGCACTCCATAAATATTCAAGTGAAAAAATGAGTCAATGAATGAATGGATGAACGAACAGAAAATCAGCCATCCTCAGGTAAGGACAGTGGGCATTCCTTTGTCCTGTGTCCCTATTCTAGTAACCTGGAGAGGAATTGTCTTCCTCCTGTCTGTAACCTGCTCAGGATTAAACAAAGGGCTTTCTCCAGATTTGGGATCATCAGGATGAAATAAAGCCTGAAGTGTATCCAAAGTAGGGTTAACAGGGTAAGAAGTAGTCTAGAAGCTATGTCACTTGAAGGATAGTTGTGGGGACTGAGAATGTGAAAGAGAAGATTGAAATAGGAGAAGAAATGTAGCTATCTCCAGATCCTGGAAGGTAGTCAGGTGGCACCACACATTTATTCAATAAATATCTGTGGAGACTTTTCCATGTGCCAGGGACTGAGGTAGGCACCAAAAGTACAAAAACAAAACAAAATAAAACAAAAAATCCCCACAAAACAGAACAAAACAACCCTTCCTCACTCCCCGCTCTCCACACGCACACACACACAAACACACACACCAGAATTAGTGTTTATCTGTTTGACTTCAGAGGGAATACCCAGGATTGGTGAGAAATTTGGAAAGACAGATTTAGATGCATCATAAAAGAGTCCAAATACCATTTCCTAAAGTGCATTTCATGGAATGTAAGGGATACATGGGATGTTCATTTATGTTACATGAAAAAAAGGATTCTGTGGCCAAATAAGTTTAGAAAATCTTGAGATAAAGTTAGTCTTGAACTACAGTACAGGACCTCTAGAGACTTTAATATCCTACTGTATACTGTGACTTTCCTAAAGAGGGATAAGATTTTTTTTCCTAAAGCTTTTGGGCCAACAGGACACTTTTTCCAGGCCTAGAAGTCCATGGGAAGAGCTTTAGGAAAAGTTATCCTCTCTTCACATTGAGCACATTCGCCTTTGGAACAGGTGGCCTGCAACCATGGATACAGATGGGCACCATGGCTGGCCCCTGAGACACACATTGACACCACATACAACAGATGGCCAAGTCTTCATTCTGAATCACTCATATCCATCCATTCTCTCACCTCATCCCCCTCACCTCACAATTTTCCCAGTTACCAGTCATAGCACTCAATCATTCCCCTTTCCATCCTTGCTTTGAACTTGGCCTTAATGAACCATGCTTTGTATTTCTGCTTCTGACTTATACTCTGTGTAGTACTGATTCTGGTTCCTCCCTTAAGCTTACACCCTGGGTAACCCCCCCGGAACCCCACTACTCCCCGTGGTTCAACTCTTCCATCCAGCTCATTGTACACAGAAGAGGGAGACCCAAACAAAGAGTGAACAAGTTCTCGTGTCACGGATGCCATCATGGGGAGAGCCTGGCGTTTCTGACGTGGGAAATTCTTCCCTGCCCTTCTTTTCAGCTACTTCTTCAACAGGTCTCAGGTTTTGTAAGGTCCTATTTCTAGGCATAATTTTAAATACTTCTGGTACCTGGGAAACCTACGATTTCTATGATTATATCATCTTATCAGTTCTTATATAAAATGCAGATGTTCTGCCTCACAATCGGGAATTCTTTCACATGATGAGATAAAGCCACGCATCAAAGCTCTGTCTTCCAGTCACATAAATAAACACCCATGGTGACTTGGAAGGCTTGCATGCAATTCTTGTGGGAGAAACTCTTGTGACTTTAAACTATAATACCCAAAATCCCTCCCATTTTTGTTCTCTTACCTTGTAACTTGGGTTCTCATTCCAAAATCCAGGGACCTCATTGATTGTAGCACTTCAATACAGCCCATGTACTAGAATAAGGAAAAAAAAACAAAAAAACAGAAGAAGTAGGGAAAAAATAGCACAAAGATGTCTCTTAGCTTCAGAGTGATTTCCTGGGAAACACTTTAAATCTGCTCCTAATATCAGATTACATTTGCACACTCAGCCTACCACTGATATTTCTGACCATTAATGGACACATGCCTTATATTTCAGTTCAGTTATAAAACATTAGCTAAATTCAAACTATTATATCAGGAATTTAGGTAACAAAGACAAAGGTGAGTTCCATGCTCAAGAGCTTGGGCTCTGAGGCCAGATCACGTGAATTTCAATCCTGGCTCTGCCACTTATTAATTATGGACTCTCAGCAAGTTACTTAATTTCTCTGCATCTCAGTTTTGTCCCCGGTAAAACGGAGATACAATTAGAATTGTTAAGAGAGTTCAATTATTTCATGCTGGTGTTCAAAAGCAGTGCCTGGTACCTACATGTGCTCAAATATTAGAAGAAGCAAAAATAAATGTGAGACTAATAATACAGAAACACTGAATCTTCTAAGGAGATAAAAGCAAGCATATAAATACAGATAATACACAATTTAGTAATATAAGATCTTACTTTTTGCAAACTCATTTAATAAGGGGGTTCAAGGAAGAAAGAGTTATGTTCTACACCAGGAATGAGTAAATTTAGCTTGAACATGGAGTATTGGAAAAGGAATTGTGATTTATAAAGGTCAAAGATGGTTTACGTTTAATGTGTCAGCAGTGGGAGCCACGTCAGACTGCTGGTAAGGGAGTGATGCGATCGATCAGTCAGTGTTTGAGGAACCTTATGTCAGAAGCAGTATGAAGGTGGGTTAATAGTGAAATAATAAGTGAGGATATGCCTGTTGAGAGGAAAGTAATGACAGCCCACACTGAGGAGGGATGGTGGCAGTAGGAAGGAGGGGGCAGATTCAAGTGACATTGCGGAAATAGATACTACATGATTCGGCAGTTGATGTGATGTAGAGAATAAGAGAGAAGGGTGAGTCACGGATGACTCAGACATTTCCAGTGAGGGTAGCAGAGGGAACAGTGATTCCATTAACAGAAACAGGAAAGCCAGGAGAGGGGAAGATGAGTAGGTTTGGGACCCATTGACTGAAACACACTAGTGGCGTATCCAGGAAATAACAAGCTGGCCGTTGAAAATTGGATTCTCGGGTTGTGGAGAGGCATTAAGCCTGGGGACGCAGACTTAGTAGTCATTTGTGTGGCTTTACCAGGTAAGGCCGTGGGAGTAAATCCTCTTAGCAGAGCCTTAGTTGATGAGGGAGAGTGTTTCTCTGAGAATGAGCTTGGAAATGTTATGAAAGCCAAGTGGTCTGATTGAAAGTGATATGTCGGCTCCTTGAAAATTATATGCTTCCTGTTTTGCTTTCCTTTGGAAGCCCTCCAGCCTCCCTCTACTTGGAAATGACAAAAGCACTGTGGAAAGATGGCAAGAGCCAGTGGGTGCCTCCCCAGACACTTCTGGTTGTATTTCTGAGCCAATTCTGTAGATTTTGCGTTCTAAGAGCCGGTCAGTCCACCAAGGGTTGCCTAGAGCCTCGTGTTGGGGAGAGCGCCTTGGCCAGGACAATCACCTGGCGGTTCTCAGCTGGATTCCTGCTCATCACACTCCTCTTGGGGTCTCTCATAATAACACAAAAATTGCGGGCAGATATTTTACTCAATCCCAATCACACTCAAATTCCAAAAGCTTGAGTACCTCAAGGAAGCAGGTGAAGTTTCTGTTCCATAAACCATAAGACGTATTAGGAAAGGAAAGCTAGAGTTAGGGGGTATGGTAAAAAGCCCATCTCAGAATTGTCATGAAGGGAGATTCCAAGGGTCCAAGTTCTCTGTGTCAGCGTGGATTGATAAGATGGTTTCCCCATCCTCACTGGCTGCTCTGGGTTTTCCTGCCTTTCAGGGTCTTCTTTCATTCCAGAACGCAGCTCCTGCTTCCCTGTGTCCTGCACCCCTCACCCAGGAAAGAGTGGACTCCCCACAAAGGTTTGGGAGACAGGTCTGGGCTACACCCAATTCCTTGTCAGTGCAGAGATGGGTGTCATTGTTCCCTTCAGCTGTAAATCATCAATCGAAGACGAGGTGACTCAGCTTCTCAGGGTACACATTTTGAAAATGTGGCCAAGCACCTACATTTTTCACACTCTGCCAGAGTGATTTTTCAAAAAAAACAATGATCAGACCTTGCCCCTCTATTGCTTAAAACTCCTGGCATTTATTATCAAAACAAACTCAATTCTATCAACCCCTAGACCCTGTGTTTTCTGGCCCCTGCTGGCCCCTTCACCTCCATCTGTGTGTCCCTCTCCCCCTCTGCACTTTGCTGCCTCATGGGCCTGCTTTCTCTTCCTCAAGTACACCCAACTCTTTCCAAACACAAGGCCTTTGCCCAAGTGCCTCCTCCTCTGTCGGCCCCCACCGCCCACTTGCTCTGCAGGACTGACTCCTTCTCTTCCATCAGGGTTTAATCCAAATGTCACTGCCTCTGAAGCCCCCTCCTGTCACCCTTCATCACAGCCCCCATTGTCACCTTCGTGCCACTATCAGGTTTACTTGTTAATCTGCATGTTACCTGTCTTCATTCCCTTGGCTATAAGCACCATAAGAGTAAGCACCATGAGCCCCACTGTATTCCCATCTCCTAGGCCAGTGCCTGCGAGAAGAAGACTAAATACTAAATACTGCTGAAAGGATGAATACAGCCTCTATTGTTCAGCTCCAACAGTATCTTTAAAATGAGCAGAGGGAGACAGGGGAGCTGGGCGCATTGAAGGTTTGATTGGTCTCTCCATACAGTTAGATAAGGAAGGAGTACAGGAGAACTGAGGACTCAGAAAGAGACTCTGGAATTACAGGTCAGGATGATACCTTTGGGAGATTTCTGGATTTCTTTGTTATTTCTTCCACGTTTGTTATTTTTGTCATTCCCCCATCTGAGCGATTGGCAGCAACCTAAGCACAGGGGTTTTTGTAGTGAAGTGTCAGGTGGGGAGAACAGTGCCCTCGGGTGTCCTGGGGAAGGGAAGGAAACAGGAAGACCTCTGAGTGATAATGAGCCCTCCTGTGCAAGGGAGAGTGTCTGCGCGGGGGCGATTCTCAGCCCAGTGAATCTAACCAAAGGTGGGATTTGGGTTATCAGAGAGGAGAAAGGTTTTTAGTAGAGTGGAGAGGAGGACAGGGAGAGAGGGGGGTCTTCCAAAATGTCCTTAATCACATTTCATGGTGTTAACCACCCATCTCCTTCCTTTCTCAGGCAGGCCCAGGCAGGGCTTCCGATCCCCTGCCCTTCCCTGAAACCTCTGTTTTGCTTCACGCACTTGTCTGTAAGCAGCAGAACAGGCGACACCTTCTGCCAGCCTTACCGTGATAAACTGAAGTTACTGAAGAAACGTGAGTCACGGCCTGAGGTGGTCACGACAATGAGCACACTTCCCCTCCACTGCGGGCCTGTGCGGAGGAAGCCACTCTGAGTGAAGTGAAGGGAGGGAATCAATGCCTGACTGTTGCCACAATTACCCCAAAGCCCAGAATGGAGTTGGCCTCCCCATTAACTCACAGTCCATTTCACTCGGAAACCATTGCTGTGAGGAAGCAGGGAGCGAGCAGCCCATAAAAATAAACTATCCATTTTTTGTTTAGGTACCTGATGACTGCAGAAGTGGATAGTGGCTGAATGTCGAGGCCCGAGGGAGGAGAAGTTTGTTGATTTTAGGTATAAACTGGGGATGACAATACCTCTCATTCATTTATTCAGTGAAGATCTGCATAAGACATGGTCTCTGTTCTTCAGAAACCCCGCCTCATAAGCAGAGGACAACTGTGAAAGAGATGACTTTTCTTTCTGTGAGGTTACTCATTGTTGTTAATTCCATTTAATAGATGAGGAAATGAAGGCCTATTAAAGGAAACTGTCTGGCTTGGTTTCATTGATTCAATGAGACTGAATCGGGGTTTATTCGAGAGTCCACAGTCCATTTCTGGGGCCCTGTACGTAAGCCAGAAAGAGAAGGGATCGCTCAGCTGGCTCCCACTGATTCTTCTTTGGTCTACGCAGTTGGAGGAGAAGGTGACCAGCCTGGGGGCCACCTGGGAAGGACAGGCATGAGTCCAAGCTTTTCTTGGGGATGGGAGAAAGAAGACACTCCCTAATTCCTGACCCTGTGCCGAGAAGAAGACACTGGAGGCCTTTTGAGAGGCAGAAAGGGGTGGTGAGGAAGTGGCGGAGCTCCACAGGCTCAGACAACCTTCGCATTCAGCTCCTGACAGGCGGCTCACCTAACTCCCAGCTCACACTCTGCTTTCAAGCCCCAAGGCAGGAATAATATTTTTGTACTGTCTAAGCTTCAACCACTTGCTCCCAGGGAGAGGTGAACAGCCTATTCACAGTCGTGTGTATCTTGGGCTTTGCATTTCAAAACAAAAAGAAATTACTGAGGTTTTCAGAGAAAGGAAGTGACAGCTAGCTTATGGGAACTTCTCACCCTGACTCTTTTACAGGATGGTATATTCTTCTATCTTCAGAAAGGATGTGTGAGGGATACATAAACTGCTAACAGTGGCTACTCTGGGAATGGGAGAGAGGCAGCCATTTACTTTTTATTTCACATTTTTGTATTGTTTATATTTATAAAAGTAAGTAGGTCGTATTACACTAGAGTTAAACAATTAAACAGAGCCTACCACTTAAGCTCTAGGAACCACAGAATATTAAATAGTAAGTAAGGTGAAATCCCTTTTTTCAGTGGCATGGTCCCTCCCTCAGACTGTGCCTGCCGCTGTGCTAGGAGTATGGAAGAGTATGGTTGAAGAGAAGGCTTAAGGCCTAGGCCCCGCACTTGACAAGACAAGGAAGAAGGGTACTTTGGAACCATCAGAACACTGGAGAACAGTATATAATCAAGTATGTTATGACAAGGGTCTGCCCTTCATGCAATAAATGTTCAACAATGATGGAGGCCACCAATGTGGCC